GGCCGCTCACGGCGGCTGCTGGCCACTCACGCTGCCTGCTGGCTACACACAGTAGCCCATGGCAACCTACTGCAGCAGGGGCTGCAGCCTACGCCGTGGCTGGCGACTCACGGCAGCACAGCTCCAGGTTGAGCTGTTGTTCAGCATCTTAGCTGTAGAGGGCAGTGTCACGCCCTCATATGTGGGATCAGAACCAGGGCCCTCTGGCGTCCCAAGCCAGCTCTTAACCAATGCGCCACTCGGCCGGCCCTATCTTCCAGTTTTAATAGAATAGCCTTATGTAGTTGGTGTGCTGTGGGGCTCAGTGGTGCAGTCTTTCTGGTCACCTGAGCCACGCACTTCAGGTGTGTCCCTTGTGAGTCGTGTTTACCCTCCTGTTGTAGTTGAGAGCTGATTGCTGTTTGCTCACCAGTGGGAGGGATTGACCCTCGGGCTCATTGGTTGTGAGGACTGGCTGTGATACAGTGGAGAAGCTGTGTAGGGGCTGACCCTACAGAGCAGGATCTGCCTCAGCAGGACTCTTGTGCCTGCCCAATCTGCCCCTTGGGTGTCTTGTCCTTGGATGCAGCTGGGAGATGCTCCAGCTCGTTCTGAAGCTGGCCACCTGCTGCAGGTCAAGTTCAGCTGCAGCCCATGCCCCACCCAGGGCCACCTGATAGGAGCCACAAAATAATCCACAGATGGCCACTGCCTGTGTTGTGTTTGGAAATTCCTCAAGAGGCCAAGCCATGAACCAAGGCTAGTGCTGGGCGTAGGGCTGCTCAGCCAGAGGTACAGGACATGCTCAAGCCAGATGCTATTTGTGTGGATTCTGAAACTTAGAGACCCTAGGAAAGTCTGCAGCATGAGCCAAGCAAGGTGGTTTGTACAAAAAAGCCACTGGAAGCTGCTTGGGTGTGCTGGAAGTTGGGTGGGGCAGAGGTCTCAGAATCACCAGGATGGGGCAAATGATGGGAACTCAGGGTGTCTGCACACTGGGAAGGGGGAGGGCTGTCTGTGAGAAAGCTGTGCAATGCCCACCCCCCACCCCCCGCCCCAAGCCCATGTCCTGAA